CGGGAGCCGGCTAGGGCGGCGGGGTCTTCTCCGGGGCTCGTGGCGGGCGACCCCAGGTCCCTGACCCCTTTGCGGGGGGCTGCGGCCCAGGGGCCTTCTGGCGATACGCGCTCTCGGGCTGCGGCCCCCTGCCCACCTCCCGGGGACGGCCAACAGCGGCCCCCTCCCCACCTCCCGGGGACGACCAACCGTGGCCCCCTCCCCACCTCTTGGGGACGACCAACCTCGGCCACCTCCCCACCTCCCGTCAGATGCTCGGCCACGGCCCCCTCCCCACCTCTTGGGAGATGCCCGGCTACGGCCCCCTCCTTACCTCCCGGGAGATGCCCGGCCAGGGCCCCCTCCCCACCTACCCTCAGGACGGACTGGGTCGAGCCGGGCCGGCGGCTCTGGGGGACGCAGCTTCCAGCATTGCCTCTGCGCCACTAGTGGCCGCAGGCCCGCGGAGGTGGGGTCTCCTGCACCAAGGGGAGGTGCGGTGTTGGACGCGGGTCCCGTCCCCGCTGGGAGTGTGTATCTGCGTGTGCACGACCACGTGCCGGGACTCTCCCGACGTGTGCATTTCGGGTGCCGAAAACACCAACCTCGGGATTCTGCACCTTGAATCAGCGTGGCACCCAGAAACTTCCTTTCCTGGGACCGTTTAAGCTCTTTGACATGTTCCCAGGTGCGAGGGGCCAAAACTGGACGCTGACTGGTGCCTGTGTGTGCACACGACTGTGTATGTGGATGTGTGTGCATATCTGAGTTCTTGTGTTTGTGTGTATATGTCTGCAGGGGAGTACGTGGAGCGCTCTGGCCCAGGACTCCCTCAGGGCCAGAGCCACCCCTCCCCCTTCCATTGAGAACTGGCTGCAGGAGTTTTGGCCACCAGGGCCTGCCATTCAGGTCATGTCCCCAGAGCAGTTTGCCTTTCTCACTGGACCCAAGAGCTGGGGGAGGGAAGTGCGGACTCTGGAGTGGGCTGGAAGGCTATATCTAGACTTCCTGGGTTTATCTGAAGAGACTTGCTTCTTCCCAGTTCTGTTTTGTCTTGGGAGGGTGATGTGCATGTTTTTCCCCCCAAAACAGATGAGTGCCTGGAGTGACTGTCACACATTGATGCCATAAATGTGCTGGTGGGAGAGGGCTCCTGAGGACCCCGAGTGCTGTCTGCTTATCTCCCTGTCCCCCCTGGGTGCCTCACACTCGCATCTGTCCCCGTGTGGAGAGGGGCGGCCAGAAACAGAGCCAGGCACCCAGTGGCTGCTGAAGTGTCAGTTGTCGATGACATCTGATGCTGCTTGAGAAATTCCAGCCACCCCAAATCAGCATGTTGTTTCCTGTCTGCTTAATTTTGGTTTGTGGATCATCACTGAGACGCTGTTGATATCTGGCCCAGAAGCACTGCAGATGGGATGTGGCAGCAGCGGCTGGAGGAGCCTGCCTGGAGAGGGTTCTCTTGTTTACTTGCTTGAAGTCTGCTGTCACTTTCATACTGAGAGGTTCAGCATTGCACCCCACCTGGAGTGGGGTCAGAGAAAGTGCCTCTCAATGTCAGGGACCACTGAGCACAGGGGGAATGTCACCCAGAGGATCTGAGGTGCTTCCTCAGTCATGGGGCAGGAGGGGGTGGGGACAGCCCGGCTCCTGGGTGCAGCTGGCAGGAATGGGTCTGCGGCCCTTGGGGTTCGGGCTCTGCATGGCCAGCCTCAGACTCAATTCAGGGAGGGTTCTGGACCGTGCGCTAACGGGTGGGTGTGGAAGGAAGGGGTTTGAGGATGCTGCTTGGTTAGACGTTCTCTCTTTTGTGCTTCACTTTAAACAAGTGAGAGGAACGCCCAGCTCAGCTGAGGATTAGTGCAGTGACCGAACATCTGCTGTGTCTTACCCCATGTGGGGACTGGGTATTATTAGAACCTCAGAGCACCCCCCGCCCCCGCCATTTGGGGGCTGTAGCAGTGAGGACGGGCAGAAAAGCCTGTGCACCAATGGCCCAAGTCCCTGGACGTGGTTCCAGCTCTGAGAAGCCCGTTTTCCCTGCTCTCTGAGGGTCTTCACTGGCAGTGCTGGGCTGCAGGAGGGAGACATTTGCATGCAACCTCTGCATCCAGGGCGCACAGGCAGCAAGGGCTTACCCACAGCACAGGCTGGGCATTGTCCTGTGTCTGAGCAAAGAAACGGTCAAGGCTGTGATGCTGACTTAGAGCCTGGGCTGGAGACCCAGATGTGAATTGTAGGGGCTGGCTTGGGGCTTAGTCTTGTTCTATGGTTAGTACAAAGGGATGATGGGGGTCCCCGGCATGGTGGGGGTGCCTTGAGCTCTCCATTTCTTTCCTTAGTCCTCTGCTGTGGCCATTGTCAGCCCTGACTTGCCTAAATGCCCTGGCCTTGAAGGCATGGTGAAGAGGAGGAGGGGCAGATGTGCAGGAATCACAGGCGTCCTTGCTCCCCTTGCCCCAGAGACCCCGGCCGGGCCGCCCATTCATCTCTGAGCCTCGTCGCCAGGCTCGCTGGCTGCGTGCCCTGTCGCTGCTGCTGGGCTGCTGGCCGGGTGACCCAGGGCCAGCATCCTCCCCTTTCATGGCCTCATTTTTCCATTTGCAAAATGCCGGCAGTTATTGTCTGCGGCATCCGGTGGGAGCTGGGAGCTCACGAGACAGTGCTATTCAGGCTTACTTAGCGCCCGCCCCCTCACTCTCAGAAAAAGACAAAGAGAAAAATTCCCCCTAAAGTGAGAACAGTCAGCGATGCCGCTGTGTTTGTTGCTGAGGGAAAACGCAGAGCATTCTGGGGGGTCATTCTGGGGGTGCTGGAGAGTTTTTCAGGAGTGGGGGCCTTGGCCTCAGTCCTTAAATGGTTTAGGACATAAGATGGTGCTTGGTCGCTGAGAGCTAACGGGAGAATGGGGAGAATCTCTTCCTTTTCCCTCTTTCCCTTTCTTTTTCCTGCCACCTTTTGCAAATGAGATAATACATAAGAAAGTGCCAAATGAAAGTAAGATTTTCTTATTGCAACTGTTCTGAGTCCTTGTCCTGAAGAGCCTGTGTCTTCCCGCACTTAAATCATGCCGTTATGTTGGACGGCTCTGCACACCCAAGAATCCTCGCCGAGGTCTATCTTTGGTAACAGCGGTGTCTCACGCCGTGTAAGTCTGAGCACGCTTCCTCTGGGCTGATTGAGGAAGTGTGCTCCTCCGACTTTCCATGAGTCAGGGCTTCAGCCCTGGGGGCGCAGCCACTTGAGGGTTTGTCGTGGAGACGATGAAGACCCCGCGGGGAGGGCGCTGCTGCTCGGGGTCGTTTTGGGCCTGGCGCTGCTGTGGGCCCTGTGACGTGGCTTGGCTTCCCAGGGGTGTTCCTTTCTCCACGGCCCTTACGACTTGTTTTTAAAAGTGTCATCTGGGTAAACATGTTAAGAACAATACGCAAGGGTGTTTTTCTCAAGCTAGAAAAGAAAAACGAAAATCCTGGCTTTGCCCTCAAGGTGAGAAAAGCCCCCTCCCTGGTCTGCGTGTGGGTCTCATAGTTGGGTTTGAGGGCAGGGTGGGCCTGCTCGGTGCCGCCGTGTGAGGCGAGCTTGCTGGTTCCCTGATGCCGACCTGCCTCCCTGGGCCCAGTGCAGCGGCCCCCAGGCTCCACGAGGCTCGGCACACGCTCCTGTGTGCCTCCTCTGTGAGATTAGAGCTCGCCCCCCGAGACAGTGATGCCCATTTGGATCCAGCCCGTGCGTACATTCAGGCAGACGAGCCGCTGCAGCCTGCTGGTGCCCGGGGGGACCCCGTGCCCGCCCTGCACCTCACTGCAGGCGTCACCCCCCAGGGCAGGAGGTCCCTGGGGCAGGTGGAGCTGGTGGTGGCCAGGGGTCGCTAGTCTACACTCCTTTGGCTGATCAGCCTGGTGAAGAGGCCCCAGACCACTGGGGTGGGAGCTCAGGGTTCTGGGTCCGCGCTGCTGCAAGTGCAGTTTTTACCCCAGTTTTCTGCGTGGGAAGCATTTGCCTGCCCATCGCAGGGTCTGTGAGGCTCAGGTGACGTGGTGGTCCCACCTAATATGTTGAAATAGTTGTTGTTGGTAACAGGGCTTCTTAGGGTTCACGGAGGCCACGCTCTGTGAACACGAGGGTGACAGCAGTGACAGGAGCGTGTCTGCTTGTGCATGTGCGTGTGTGTCCACGTGTCCATGTGCATGTGCACATGTGTGCGTGAGATGGTGTGAGGGGGGCCGTGCTGGCCACACACGGATCTTGGCTTCGGGGGTTTTGTGTTCTCCTGGGCTCTCTGATGCTAAAATTACCCTGGATATTCTGTTAACGGAGCTCAGCTCACGGTGCTATTTTTAACCCCAAGGCCTGCTGTGCAGCAGGCTCAGGCCCAGGCTGACTCCAGCCAGTCACTCCAGGTGTCACCTGGGAGGGGGTGTGCTGACCTAGGGGGCAGATCTTACACTCTGGTGCGCCTATGTCACGTCATTTCAGTTGAATTCTCACAAGTGCACAGCGCTGATGTTGGGGAAGCGAGGGTCCTGGCGTGGCAGTGTCTGCCCATGAGGGAGCTGGACACTCCCCCGCGTTGTGCAGGGCCTCCTCACCACATTGGACTGTCCGTCCTCCTTTCTCCGT